TTCTCAATTGTGACAAGTTTAATTTGCGAGTATGAAATTATCGTTTATCCATAAACGTAACCACTGAGGTGGATAATTAAATTTTAAACTCAGTCGTTTACTAAATCCATATCGCCTAAGATTAAGGAACTAAATATTGGGTACAAAAAATATAATAATTTTAAAGCGAATGACTATCACAATTATAATACTCGAAACAGAACTAGTCTAAGCGTCCGACCAACCAGGCTCCAGAAGATAAACCACTCCTTATATCGTGTATTCGTTTTTACAACAAACACCCAACCGACATTAGAGAATTATCACTGAATAGATTCAAAACTCTCGTTAAACGTAAATTGATCAATAAAGCTTTTTATAATTTGACGATTATTTAAATTATCCTAATCCTTGGGATTGATTTGCTACAGTTTAAACAATTTATATGACTCAAAACTTGGCGATTAAAAAGAGTGGCGGAGAGTTTCTTGCCAGTTTTTCTCCCCCGCTGTACGCCCTTGACTTGGGAACTGGTAGTAAATGTAAGTTTAGAATCAATGTAACATCTTTTCTGTTGACGTTCATAAGTGTACTTGGTTACCTATATGAATAAAGTTATTTTGAGTTTGAGTTTTAGACTAGCCGGGTTTCTCGATATTTGCGTCAACAGTAGGAGCAAGAGTTTCGAAGATTTTTGCCGCGCACCATCTATGTTGAACCAGCTGCCCACTGAAGTATATCCGAACTAATTCGATTTGGAGTCCTTCAAGATAAGAGCGTACCAACTCCTAACAGGCCGGCAATGCACTTGCTAGCCTGTTGGCAGTGTAAGTTCCCATGGGCAGTCGTATCACTTAACATCAGATGAGCCTTTAGCCTGTTTGGTTCCTGTACTATAAAACACATACATACAGGATAATATACTAGACCACATAATCATATCTAAAAATGCACATTCTTTGGTAACCGATATTTAACTATTTGACGCATCTAAACTCTTTGGTAAGGCGATAATGACGAAATTGTATGCACAAAACATTGCCCTTGCGACCTCCTTTGCAGGTCGGAAAGTGCTAATCAAGTTACCCAGAACATAATTGGAGGGAAGCGAAAACAATGCACACAATTAACGGTTTCACGGTTCTAATAATTAAGGTCAAAATCGAACCCTGATCCGAATTGGAACCCGTGAGAAATCAACCCCAAAGGTTGATGAAAGTAGTGTTAGAAGTTTGAAGGCTTTTGCATTTACTGTGGCATGAGAGGTGGCGTGGTGAAATGCATAGTTCAGTGTAGTAATGGTATGGGTTCCTCGCGATTAGGTTTATTGAAGTGAAACTTCTTTTGGGTAAAATTTTTACGGAACGTCACGAATTTATGAAATATTAGTATTTTATATTTTATGCAAAATAATGTATTGAAATTTCAAATGACGAATTGTATAAAAATGCCACGTGTTTTTATTATCGAAGAAAAAATTAAATTTATAATTTGTACGTATTAATTTTCGACACTTTTAATATTTTAACTACAGTTAAATTCCTAACATATCGTCCGGTTTCCCTCCCTCTGTCTCGGAAATCTAAAGTTTTAGATTTGTATGAATATAAACAAGACTTAAAAATTGGTTTGCCAAAGAAGTTTCACTTCCGACATGTGTATTTTGTACGCACGCACTTTTTTTTAAATATATATGTAGTAGTATAAATATATAACGTAATATATGTTTCAATTAAGTAACAGAGACACTAAAAGTTAATGTATATTTTTGGTTTGACTCACATTGCGTATTGATGCTCCTACCCAGATCCATATTAAAAACTGTTCAACTATATTCCGACAACGCGTAATTTGGTCACACAACCAATAGTCGCAAGCGATTTTGATCAGATATGATTTACCGACCTAGAGATAGAGAGAAAGATTTAAATTTATTTATTTACACTCACTAAGGCTACTTAGTGAGTTTTTAGCTGATCATATTATATGTAATATTATAAAATATATGCAGCAGCATTGAAGCATTTGTGCAATTTCAAGTCATCAAATTGATAATTAATCGAACGTTAAACGCACTAACCTTGGTTTATCGCAAGTGCAAAATCGATTAAAAAATAAGAGGCTGTTACGCAACTTATATCTTTTGTATTATAAAGGTTAAATCTAAATTGTGAAGGTGAATTTGAAGAAGGAATCGAACTTAAATTAACGAGTTTCAAGACCCAAATTTGGGTTTAATTGTCGAATTATGACGGGAGTCAAAATACAAATTTTTGTTATGGAACTCACTTAGCTGTCTCGATTCTGAAGATGAGTGTCAAAGAAAGTCTGTCTGAGTGTCAAATGGTCAAAGAAGCAAGAAGACCCATTTAGGGTTGTCACTGGAGTATTATATATCTAATATAAAATATAGTATTTTTTTTCGTTACGGAGGCTCACCTGATGTTAAGTGATATTCACCTAAAGTTACCATGGACGCACACTGCCAGAGGGCTCGCAAGCGCGCTCCCGGCCTTTTAGGAATTGGTACGCTCTTTTCTTTGGTATTATTCATTTTACGCATTCAGTAACAAGAGATCATTAATAGTTTGAAATTGTCTATATTATATATTATTGACTGTGCAAAAATGTAATTTCTTCATCTATAATAACACCTGTGACATTATGTTATTAAATCATTTTTTGATGCCCAACAATTTTATTTATTAAGGCCGGAAGAAACTTAACACTTTCACCAATTATATACATTTCACCACTACATTGCAAACGAATCAATCAGCCGAAACTACACATATTATAACACTATGCTAAGGAAATAATTTTATTTATTTAAATTTTAAAGTAAACACACCAAATGCTATGTACGAAACACGATTGGTAATGTATGTACGAAAATGATTTTTAAAACTTAGCTACCTTCTAGGGGAATATATGTAATAATTTTAATTTACTTATTATATTGCAATAATTTAAACTTGTAGATTTTTTCACTTTTTTCAAAATAATAAAGAAACATAAAAATTGCCATTTCAAAAGTAATTTTTTCTGTCTTCGTAAACAAACTTTAATGTAGTCATAAAAAAATACACGCGGCGCTACAACCTTTGATCATTTTTTTATTTGAACCTGTTTTGTGATCATAGTTAAGGCAAATATATGACAAGTCGGTTTCTTCACAATGTTTTTCTTGGGCGACTGTAGTACACATAGAAAGAAAAGTCCTTTGGTGTTCAGCCGGGTCTCGAATCTATGACCAGGGATGAGGGTCGCATGCTCAAGCCACACTGCTCTTATTCATCAACTAATCGTGTATTTTCTTGCATTTTGGCAAGATCTTTTACGATAACATGTATAATACACCAATTTTTTTTTTATAATTAGAATCTTGATATTTCTTTTTCAACAGTTTCTTCGATTGTTTTGCGTGTGCATGTGAGTCTAATGTGTATGTGTGTGAAATTTACCGCGTGTGTCTGTGTTTTATATTCAAATTGATAAGGAAAATTAAAAAGTAAAAAATGTATAGTACTAGAATACTCCTAATCGATTATAATTTCATGTGATGTCTAAACACAAACTTCTAATAAGTAAACTTAATTTAGAGTCAAGAGAATTAGTAGTCAATATTGACATGATATGAATGGCCACAAGGCCACACATATTTAAATAATACTGCTTTTATGAACAACCATGAAATATATTTACACCGTTCATAATAGGTTTAAACATTATATTGCTGTTGTGTGGACTTCACGAAATATACATATATGCGACAAGATATATTTCAATAGTGACATACCAAAGCGGTTCCATAAAGACCCGTAACGGTAACGGGATCGATTCCCGGTTGGAGCTCGAATTATAATAATTTCTCCACTGCCTCTGGTGTGTTATGGGTACTGTACGAATCGGAAGGCGAGTCAAATTTCACTGTTAGGTAGGTTCTTTCAATTCTATGTATCGACGGACTTTTTAAGCATTGGCCTCAAGGGCTTAGTGATAAAAGACCGTTGTGCTCGTGTTTAAATAATATTTGGAAGTCACACATGTCAAGGCGTGTAATTACGATGAAACAAGTTGTCATACAAACGACACGTTTCTCAATGGTTCTATAATAAGCACAAGGCCTTCGATATTTGCTCGCACTTTAAATGCTAAGCTCTGATTGCGTAATACATCAAATTAGGATCACATATAAATAATATAATATAAAACACGCATCATTGGAAGTTAAAAAAATTGTTACGCTAATAAACAAAAGCAGTTTTTTTTTTGTTTTGAATATATTATATAAAATACACTAGTAGATGTGTGTAATTGTAATTATATAGCGTGATAAATAAAGGTTTATTTTTATTTATTAAAATTCACCATATCATATATAATGCTATATCACAGTATATATGTTACAAGCTAATATTTCTAAAATTAAAATAACTTCCGATTTTAGCCCTTACTAGTAATTTTTAGCTTAACAATGCGAATTAAGTATCAAATAGGCACTTAACTATGCTTTTTTAAACTGATCAGCCCACTTCCAAATATATCAACGGCTTCATAATTTTTTTTAAGAGCAGTGTTAGCCTAGTGGCTTCAGCGTTCAACTCTCATCCCTGAGGTCGTAGGTTCGATCTCCGGCTGTGCACCAATGGAATTTCTTTCTATGTGCGCATTTAACATTCGCTCGAACGGTGAAGGAAAACATCGCGAGGAAAAACCGGCTTGTCTTAGACCCAAAAAGTCGACCAGGAGGCTGATCACCTACTTGCCTATTAGATTGGTGATCATGTAACAGATACAGAAATCTGAGGACCAGACCTTAAAAGGTTGTAGCGCCACTGATTTTTTTATTCACAAATTTTGGCAATATGACTTCAGTATCAAAGTTTACTTTACTTATTTGATTATTTGCTAAATTATTTGTGAAAGCAGCATTAGTTTTTCATTCTTTTTCGTGTTCCATTTCGATGACATAAAAAGGCAAATATTAGCCAAAGTTATTTTTGCGTGTTTCGCGAACAATGCCAAAGGGATCCTTTGTCTATGGCGATGAGAAGTCCTTGGTTCGTTGAGGCAAAAATGAACATTCTTCGAGATGTGAAACCCTCTTCTTCTGTTTTTTGGTGCCTCGCTTTCATTAAAACTTTCAGAGTTCGTTATAAACCTATATTATATACTGTAATTATCATTATTTTAATTTATAATAATAATAATAATTTATTGCAAGAATATGGTACAAAATTATGTGGAAATAATTAAAAATATGTACCTCATAGACCACAGAATATATATATATATATATAAAAGGATTATAACTACAGTAATTACTATGTATTTAAAAAATTGTTAATATTTACTTAAAACCTAATTGTTATGATAAATCGTAAAATATTTAAATTATTATGGCCCCAAATGATATCGTTTCGGTGTTTTGTAAATTTAGAGTTACGCTAACAGTTTGCAATAGAACCATTGTTCTTGTTCATGACCTTTTCAATTAGGAACTTATTGCATGCTATTTTGAAAAAACCTTATTGTATTGTCGCTTGATGATTGGACAAAGTACTGCGACAATCGCAAGAAATTCCGCAGTTTTTTTTAGTAAATAACCATGGTTTTAAGTTAAGGATTTTTTTACGTATGTTTCATGAATATCTACTCGAATATTCCGATTTGGAATATTAATCCCTGAACTTTTTATTGGCTTCAAAAATTAGCGCATTTTGTAATAACATTTAATCAGGGGATCAGAGCTTAAAATTGACAACAATAACATTCCACTCACTAACTTTTACGTCTTTTTCTGACAAATTGTGTTGACGCTATGATGAAAAGAGACCGAGATCACTTAGCTCAAAAGTTAAACTACAAAGGTAATATTGTCAATAAAGCTCTAAATATCTTAAATTATTTGTATAAAAATAATTCTAAAAAGCACAAAATTGCTTAACTTACTATCACGAGGGAAAGCTAGTAAGCAAAACTGCGTTCTGAAGATCAGTTACATGATTTATTAAAAGTTAAATAACACCAGTTATTGTTACTTCCGTAAATAAAATTCGCTTCGGCCGTTACAATCGTAGTTAAACATGTGAACGCTATCATGACATAGGTATGCAGTGTTACGCTGATTTAGAGAAACATTAAATTTGCATTTTTATCTTAATAGCGAATTGACTTATCAAATCCGTCATATACGGTAAAGATACGGTTTTGTCAATCTATTATAATCTTATACAAAATATAGTCAGCAAAAATCTTATATGATTATTAACTTATATACTTTTAGTTAGATATATTATGTAGCTACATCTAATCGAAGTATAATTTGTCAGTCAAAATTATCTTTTCAATTCAGTACTATAAAATTAATCGTGAGAATAAAATGATTTTTGTTTTAAATGCTAACTTCTGACATATGTGTTAACTAAATCAGAAGCAGAACGAAATACAGTTATGAAATGAAAACTTAAATCCGATATCGAAGGTGTCAATCGAGGCCAAACTAAGCAGCAAAAAGCCTCGAGGTCTATCAAAGTTCAACAATTGCCCGTAAGTGAATCTCTCTAAACATTTTCAATAAAAAGGAATTAAATTGGCAAATTTTTGTCCCCCTGCTCTACTTTTTGGTTTATTGATTCGAACACATAACACTTTCGTTTGATGTTCCACGGTCGAGGTCGTTTCAATCTAAATGCAAATCTTTCTAAACCAGTCTTTCTTAGTTTGTTTAATGAGCACACCAGTATTTAGGTAATATATTCATATTATGAACATATTTACGTAAACACTGCTAAGCTCGCGTAACGTTATTTCTATTGTCTAGACTCATTTCTTACGATTTCAATTCCTATTCAATTGTTTTTATATCTCATCGCGATAACAATTTCATACTAAAAAAACTCGACGATCTTTTATTGGTAGTTTAGCAACTTTTTCATCAGTCACCATTCTATTTTGGTAAGGGCAAGGACTGTTACGCAACTGGCCAATTTCGGTTATAATTGTTTTCGTGACTTAAAACCTAACCCTAAATATCTATAAACTTTAAATTAACTTACTGCAACGTTTGACAGCACTCTAATAAAAAGCCGACCTAAGGTGAAGACCAGTCCTCCACAAATCGATCTGTTTAAGATAATCCACAGACACTGATCACAGCACTGAAAAAGTTCTCACTTCACGAATGTCCTGCCACGGGAACAGACCAAACTTGTTCTTGGGGTACCAAATTCCGGTTTAATGTAAGGTCACTCGACGTTTGCCGGATGAAAAACAGACAGTTCCAGTCCAACAGTATTCGCGTTGAAAGGAAAGTCAAGAAAGTTTCGTGTGTTAACTTTTTTCGCGATCGGAAGATCGGCGTCGCGGCGCCGGGCGATACGTACTACACAAACGGCGGCACAATGCAGACTGCCGCGAGATGCTAGTTAATTTTAGTGTGCAGTCAAAGCCTTCTCGACGTCACACATGCTTCTGTGTGAGTGACGAACTTGCAGATTCCCGTACCACGATACAACTGAACAGACCAAAGCTTGTGTAATAATATCCATTGCGTTTTTCATTCGTTCTGAAACAGTGCTGTTCCATGAGATTCTAATATGTATGTAATACAAATGTAAACTACACTGATTTGAAACGTTGCAACGGGGCATCAGGTTCTGTACGTTTGTTCATTTATTGTTATGGCCCTACATGCAGTCGGTGCATAGTTTTATGAAATTGGTTTTTTGTTCTCGCGTCTGGGAGTCCTAAAGATTCCGCGCTCCCTTTATGAGGACGCTGAACTTTAAGCATTAAGTTTACGATTTCCAACAGGTATAATAAAATTTAGCTATTAACTAATGCAATATAATTATTTTTTATAGCAAAAAAGTGTCTAATCACCGAGAACGCAGGTTCGTGGATTATCTGCATACGAATTTAATAATCGAGTTAATTATATCAATACAAATACATCTTTCAAAACTCACAAGAATTTTGAATTTTTATGAATTAATAATTCTCAGTAAATCAGTCATCATACTCTTACATAAGTGATTTGTACTTATTTTTTTTTCAATCGAAAAATACTACGTATTGTATACCTACGTAGTATTTTTTTTATATATATATGTGTAATAATATATTAAGGTTTTTCATAAAGCTTATCTTAATATATATACTCGTAAATTACGCGTCACATTGTTTGTCCGCTATGGACTCCTAAACTACTTAACCGATTTCAATCAAATTTGCACACCGTGAGCAGTTTGATCTAACTTAAAAGATAGGATAGCTTACATATATATATATATATATATTGTATGCGTTAGGGTGGAGCCCCAGATGGTTTAGATTCACAAATCAGCCCGGCAGATGGCGCTACAGTCGGTACTTTCATGCTTTGTTTAATATTCTAATCGTTTGAAATTTAACCGCTACAATCCCTTGTTATAAATTATAAAAAATATATTATGGCAGACCGGGCCTTGTAGGAGCTTCTTCTGGTCGAGTGTTAAAAAAGGAATAATAAATTAAAGCAACGACATTATGACCGCGTTCTGACGGAACAATAATGAAGAAATATTCGCACGGTCCCTTCTCTCGTTCGCACGATTAACATTTAACTGATAACCTGGGCCCTCTAGATTACTACTATTTCTGGAAATAGCTGTGGCCTTAGGCCTTTATTTCGATAACACCATCTTTTGTTTACAAATAACCATCATTATTCATAGTTTTGATAGGTCATGAAACTATTGTCTTGTTTTGACGTTTCCGTTACGTCGAGAATTCGATTTTTAAGCCGACTTCATAGCCTAGCGGTCTTATTAAGTGGCAGCTAGGTGAGGGGTACCGGGTTCGATTCCCGGTTCGAGGTAAAGTTTTAATTTAATTTAAAATTTGTTCTCGGCCTTTGGGAGGATTGTGCGGTACCGGGCGAGTGCCTAAACCGTACATGTAGGACATGGTCGAATTTCTAAGGCAAAAGGCACGAATTATAAAAATCTTATACTTGACGCTGGCTAATGCACCAACCGTGCCAGAGCCATATAAAAAAATATAAAAAAAGCCGACTTCAAACAAATCGAAGTAGTAAGCAATTCAACTTTTTTTTTTAAATTATAAATACTCGGAGGAGGTTTACATTTAAAACCCGAGTTGTAATTTTTTTTTCTCGGGCTTTGAACCTCGGTCCTTGTAAATCATCGAGGTGTCAAATGATGCAGATTTGGCAACTTCCGATTACTTAATCATTCAATTCTCTTAGTACAAGGCCAATCCACACAATTGAGAAATTATTTAATATCTTTAGTGTGTTTTCGAGTCGATTATATTTTTTTTATGAAAAAAAATGTAACGTCAAAGGATTTCCTCGCACTAGTAAAACATACTAAAAATAAAATGCGACGTCTCTTTGCAATCATATTTTTATATAGAAAGATGTGGTACATGCATTGCTAAAGTTAATTAATAATGTATAAAAAAAATAACAAAAATAAGTATTTGATATTTTTTGTCATAGAAACTTACTCCGCGCAAAAGATATTTGCTATATTAATTCGATTTTTCTTTAATTACATGTGGGGATACTACCTCAAAGTCCTTACATTATATAACAACATATCCAATCTTCTAAATCCTTTCGAAATCCTTTACTACGCGAACAATTTGTTCGAGCTTTGATATTTTCAGTAATATCAAATAAATTATGCCGTTAAATGTCCTTTCCGCTCCACTGAATATATCAGATTATGTTTTGATCTAGAGCTCATAAGAAACAAGCATAATTTCAATTCAGAGAGAGAACGCACTGCGGTTACAGTATATATGTTTTTTCCTATGCCTGACGTAAACTTCTTAGGCTACAAATAATTTCATAAGGTTTTGTTTCAGAGTCTGCATTTTTTATTTTTCCCTAGAAAAGTTAAACGATTTTTAGAAATTAAAACAATTTTTTTATAACAATTCAATTAATTATTTGTAATTATAAATCTGTGCTTATAATTGAATATCTTATTGTTTTACTAGTGTTTTTAACATCATATAATGTAGGAATCCCTGTACTGGGCTACGCTATGCTAAACTGCAATTAATGAAATGCTAATTAGTGCGCTGCTGAAGAGTGTGTCTGCAACTGACTTTAAAGGAAATCGCTATGCTTATAAAAGTATTTATTTATTTATTAAAGTTCACAACATCATATATAATGCTATATATACAGTATATTTTAAAGAAGATAGCTGTATAGTGTATGAAAATATTTGATAACTTTGGCTTAAAAATAAGTTACTAGTGATTTAACAATAAGCAAAAATTTGCTAGTAAAACAATACTTATTTTAAACTAGAAAGAGTTCCAAAATAATAATAGACAAACCTTAGCCACCTTGGAACAAGTAATATTAAAATTTGTATATTAATTTTATTTACCCGCGGTAAATTCCCGCAGTGCGGCCATCTAACTGGCAAAGTTGGGACATTTTAATGCCAACGATTAAACTAATACATTCCCGTCATATTTGACTATTTCTAGAAGCAATTTGATTGGTGATTTACGCTTTTGTTTATAGCTACGAAAAGTCATAAAGTAAATTGAATATTTTGATCCTATTTTATTGACTGCGGGTTTATTTCCCTAAACCTATAAAAAGGCAAAAATAATGTTAAATGCTGTGCTGTGTAATATCATATTAATATCACTGACTCATCTCGATTTTATAAAATACTAGCTGTACACGGTATTGTTGAGGTTATTTGGTTGTTGTATTCCTTCTTTTTTTTCAGCTCTTGTTTTGTGTATATTGTCAAAATTGTGGATCTTTCAGTCTTCTGTGTCGTTCATTCACTCATTTGTATAAACTTAAAATCATCTATTAAATTTGTTGTTAACCCGACAGTAAAAAACACAATATAATATCCAATTTGGTGCTTTAGTTCGGTAAGTATTCACATAAAAAACCTCCTCAGATTTTTGTATCTATTTCGTGACTTTTTTTCTAATAGACTAGTAGATGATCAGCCTTTTGTGTCTGAATGTTTGTGGTACATATCGGCGATTCATTTTTTATATAGATTTGGTCATTCGTTGTGTGATCAAATAGTCAAATCAAATGGTGATTTATTTATAAAAGCTTTGAATATGAGAACATTGACAATTTATAGAAATTTTGCGTGTTGATTATATGTCCAATGTCCGTTGTTCTCTTTAAAGCGTCTAATATTAATGAATAGCCAACAAGGTACACATAAGTAAGACTGATGATGCATAATTACTTAAACATTTGGTCAATGTGAAAGAAATAAAACAGCCCTCTTCTTGAGAATTCAACAAAATATAAAATAATTCATTGTATAGTAGTAGTGAAGACGATAAAGTTATACGCGATTCAAATGCAGTCTATAATGAATGAAAAATTGAAATGTGTTAGGTTTTCATTTTATTTTTGACCAGGGCAACATAATTGCATTAGAATTCTATTCGAAGAATTCATTAGAACACAAATATAGTATTGCGAATGGGCTAATGATAAATCTTTGGACTCACAAAATATTTTAATGATATTTCAATTGCTGTAAGTCACATGTTTGAACTCATTAATCAATTTATATGATATTTAATCTAGAACTAATATGCAAAACGTGACTTCACAATGCTTTATTTTGTAATTAGTCGTGTTGCTATTTCGTCATTTCATTGTGTTTTTATTTTATCGACAAATGATAATTATGAATCCATACAAGCGTCTGTCTGCGTCTTGTCCATATAATAAATAAATACAAAAATGTTTTATTTAAAAAAAAATATTATTTCTATTTTACATTCTCTAAAGTTGTTTGTGTAAAAAAATTATCACATCAAATAATAAATAAATACAAAAATGTTTTATTTAAAAAAAAAAATTATTTCTATTTTACATTCTCTAAAGTTGTTTGTGTAAAAAAATTATCACGTCAAAAATACATTTAATTTAAGAAAACAATAGGCATACTAACTAAAGTACTAACACTTGTTTGCTCTCTCCTCTCTATCTCTCTATGAGAAAAAGTATTTTAGGCTAAAAGAGTACATATAATATGTAATTAATATAAAAAGAGATATTCTTACTGTAACAAAACTTTTGTATTTATAGATGGACCGCAACATTTCCTTAAAAACACAGAAGAAATTTGATGAGATACTGGTAGTTCCGATTTTCCAATATAGCGATGATTCCTGGACAATACGGACATCTGAAAGGAAAAAAATAGATGCTCTGGAAATGTAGTGTTCGAGGCGGATGCTTTGGATTCCTTGGACAGCTAAGGAAACAAACGTGTCCATAGTAAGACGATTACAGGTAATAAATCGTCTTTCGACACTTTGTTACCAACGCATCCAGAGTTTTTTTGGTACATGTCCAACACGCAGCCGGTTTCCTCAAGATGTTTTCCTTCACCGTTCGAGC